ATGAATATGTAAGGTCATTTTACTTCGAGCAAAACTAAAATCTAAAATTGGGTTCTATTCAATGCTTGCTTGATTTGCCTTCATTTTGATTTTACGACAGTATATTTAAAAAATTCCTTCTTTTTCTCAAATTTCCTTCCTTTTTTTTTTAAATTCCTTCTGAAAATTCTTCTTCTTGATAACCCTTCGCTGCGACCCCTGAGTATGTATAGTAAATTATATGGATAGATACATAAGATGCACCAGAATGTCTCTATCAATTATTTTATTGAAAGTGCAACGTGGAGTCTTCATCTTAATGGCCGTTTGATGCATAATTTCTTTTTTTCAAATATACAATACAAAACAACCATGAAACTATCAAGAAAACGAAGTGCAAAAAAAGAAATTTAGCGTACTTTTTTTCTTCAGTTAGTAAAATGGCGTGTAAAGTTTTTTTGCTTCATTAGAATACCGTATTCGACGTTTTACTGCGAACACTCATTCATTAAAAGCACTTAATTAGGATGTGAGTGTGTTTGTTCCTTTATGCATACCTACACTCATGTCATCCTCTCGAAATTCTGATGGACATATTTTCAATAAATGCATTTTTATACATATATGTCGAATAAAGCAACTTGGGCAAAGACTCTTAAAAAACCTTACGGTTTTGACATGACTCATAGCAGAACGTATACAAAGACGTGTAAACAAGAATGTGACTTTTTAGCAAGTATTATTTACCTTTCTTTCTTTTCTCTGTGCACACATACGTGCAAAGTAGACATTTACGCAGTAATGTAAGCTTTTCATGGTTGTGTGCTTTTCTAAATACAGATAATTTATGACAACGATGTGCAATCATTCTCATGTTTTCATTTTTGTGAATGATAAATACTTATGAAGCATTGCAACGCCGTTATACACATGGACTTTTGTGAAGCATTCTTCTCTGTATTCATTAGTAATCATAACGTCTTGTTTTCTGTTACTTGGATATTCACACGTATGAAAGGTAAGAACTGACACTGTATATAAATTACGAAATAATTCAAATTATTTTCACTGTTTAGTAGAAACTTATGTGTGAATCTATCAGAGGGTGTGGGTGTGGGTGCGAGTCTTTTTTACATCCATTCACACCCACACCCACACCTTTTCTTTTACTTAGAGAATGGATTGATTAAATTAAGTGTTTGAGATCCTCAATCTGTATTTTAAATTCCAGTTATATCATTACTTACAGTTATTGAACGATGTCAAGGGCATAATGATAAAAAAATAACTTCTAGATTTCAATGATCAAGCGACAAGATACCTTGTGAAATTCAGCTTCTAATCCGATTAATATATAAATATTTACAAACGTTCTTCCACCTAATACTGTATCCTCATGTCTACTGCAGTCGATTGTGTGTGCAAGATCTTTCGTGATCAAGTGTGTTTATAGTTATAAGTCAAACTAAATTCTAAATTCGAACACGAGAATGTTTGTTTGGGTGAGGATAGATTCCTCGCTACATCTACTCAATAGTATCGACACTAGAATTCCTTGTATGTTAGAGTTTGTTTAGAGTCACTTTTCTTCAAAGTTCTTCATTGGATTTATCATTTGCTTTGTGTGAAAATATCTTATAGAATTGAGAACAGCTTTCTCGTGATTGAGACATTACGTTACATCTTAATCGAAATTCTGGATACGCAAAAGAAAGCAAGTGACTAATAATATCCTATATTTGTACTAAAGTAGCAAGTTTTTCTCCAATATTTCTTGCTTCTTCTGTTTATTCTCTCATAATGGTAGAATATCAACAAACATATGCTAAAACAACTTATCAACACACTATTAATCAGTTCTTTTTTATCTTCCTTTAAGCTCCAATATAGAGACTGTTCTTGTTTGCATATCAACACGAAGAAAGAAAACATTTTCTCTCTTGTTTAGATTAACTCTTCTTTGAAGTAGCTACATTACAAGAGAAAATATTTGTACAGTTGATTAGCAACTAAGATTCTTAAAATATATGAAAGCTTTTTTGACGATATTCACTGTTATTTCTCTTCTATTAATTCACGCAATTAATACAGGCAATATAAATTTCATAGATACAGTGATTCGACTAAAGTAAACTTTTCTATCTTTTATTCTCTTTAGAGATTCCAAAAGATGTCTATGAAAAGTACAATAAGAGTTATCAGCAATGGCAAAATGTTAAAAAACTATGGAAGAATTCATATCAATACACATCCGGAAAGAGTTCATGGACTGGTTACAGATCCAGTACAACAATATTTGTTCTAAATGGAAAAGTGAGTGAGTGGCAGAGGGTAGAGAGTAGAAAGGTTAAAATTCAGTTTACAATAAGAGACAATGCATATATTTTTTATCAGTATGTCGATATTTAATACTGAGCTTACCATTAGATTGTCATACAATTCTGCACGTTGACATCTGTCGCTTTCTTATCGCGAGATATGAAGTGTTGGATTAGCCAAAAATTTTAAAAAATCCTGCAGAACTTATCTATTACTTCAATATTAAGTTAATGAAAAAATAGCTTTCATAGTTTTCTGACGCGTGAAATTGCTCCAGAAAAAACTATATTTTCCGAGAAACCGACCAAACTTTCGGTAAAAGTGATCGAAAACTGCTTCATTAGATGCAAGTTTTGTTTATGGTGATCCTGAATCTATCCTTACTTATTTACGAAAATTTAGACACTTAAAATACTGAAAAGCCTTGAACAATAGTGTTCTTAATTAAACCCATAAGTGCGTGAGAAATTTTTTTTCTTCCCTGTTTTGCTGTTCTGTTGCTTTACGTTGTGTTTTTTTCTTGTATTAAAATATCACAAAGAAAAAAAAAAATTTTTCAAAGAACAAACTAAAAAAGTTGAGTTTTGCTGAAAGGAAAAGTCGAAATTTGTTTTTGGAAGCTGGATATTTAGTGTCAGCGTGAACAACATTTAAAAGAATCCCCATGACAGCTTGATTGACTGTCAGTTGGAAGCGAATCTGATCTCGATGAACAGGATCATCAATAACCAATGTATCGATGTTTTTTCAAATCTTCAACGTTTAGTTTTTAAATTCAGAACACAGGGCATGAAAAAATGTGCAAACCTGTATCAATAGTGAAAATTTACTCAGCTAGAATTGAACTTGTAAAGCTTTGCATAAGCATTTCTTTTTTTTTCCAATTGACACAATTCTAATTAACTTACTCATTGAAATAGTAAGAAGATTGACAGGATTTTCCGTCACTTGTATCTTGAATTGAAATTATCTTTTTCAATTTACTGTTCTTTTCGAAATGATAATAGGCTGTTGGACGTCAATATACGGCGTCCGATCATAGACAACAGCGTGCACATTGGTTTGAGAATAAGGATCAATTGAATTCACATAAAGGTACGGATGCAGCACAACCAATAACACTTGATAATATCTATTCAACATGTTTACAATCGTTAAATGTATCTACCGAAGATGGCCGCAGAAAATATCGTCTATTGTTTAATGTAGATGAAACAAATAATGGTCTATTGAAATCTTGTGGAAATATTCCTGATGGATGTGTAGATGATTGTTTCTTTGGTGTGTCAATTGATAATTTGAAGCCCTATCAGCGAGACCAACAGAGTAATAGTACAGTTTCAATGGTATCAAGAAGAAAAAATCCGACTGGTGGTGGAAAAGTCAAAAAGCTTAGCAAGGATAAAAAAATCAAAAAGATTAACAATGATGGTAAAATCAAAAATGATTGATAATGATGGAAATCTTATTATTTTTAGGTGTGTCTCACTGCTTCTAGTTTTTCTTGCTTATATAGTTAATCTTAGTCCTGAAATTGCTTTTGCTTATCCTTCTATTATAATAAATATAGAAACTTGTTGTAAAATATTTTCCTCAACAAGAATATACTATAGATGTATAGATTTTTTGTTTCACGTTCTATTGATTGTTGACATTTTATATCTACCATTCCATTATTTAGTATATGGATAAGCTTAACAAAATACGATCTGAGTGTGGGTGGAATAAATACAACACCCACACCCACACCCCACACCCACACCCACACCCCACACCCCACCCACACCCACACCCAAATATTATATTATATTATGTTATTTTTTCCTTTTTTTTTAGTCCCTTGACATACATTAAATTAAATAAAAATAAATCAATGATTGATTTATAAATTTCACATGTATTGTTGCTAAATGTCTTATTATTAATTATTATGTTATAAAACAAATCCATGTTTTAATTATGTATGTATTCTTTGCTTTTCTTTGATTTCTAAATTCGAGATCACATCTTTGATCAGTGTCCAATTTTATCACACCTCGCATGAGTTTTCTAAAATGCTGAACATTCAATCACATATTACTTATTATCAGAGGAGCAAGAATACGAATACAAAGTATAATTTTTTGACTACTGTATGGTCTCGTACACCAGCATTTATTGTTCGACAGAGTAACTGCTCAATTGGATCTCTAATATAAGTGAAAATTTCAAACATTCATCAGAAACGCGTTTAGCCGAATAAAAAAATGCTATCGATTCGATTTTATAACTGATTTAGAGTTTTCATGTAAGTACAGCAGAAAGGCAGAAAAATAGTTTATTCGAATGAGAGTACAAATAAAGAGAGCATGAGCCAATGCGATTTGATGGTTCGTTGCTTTGACAAATTGGGAGAAGATCAACCAGAATGACGAATAAGTTAACTAAAACAAAAAAAACAATAACATAAAGACCAGTGGCAAATATCATTGATAAGACGATGGAATGGCTAAGATCTACAGCACACTAGCAATTTCAAACAAACAAAAACTTTGCATCATACAGTTTCTCAAGGAAAAAAGCGATTCGTATCGAACAGAGGTATCAGAAATGGCTATTCTTCGAGCCTGATCTATGTGAAAGAGCAACGGACCAAATGAAAAGATAAAAGGATACGATTTAGCAAAAGAAAAAAAAAGAAAATATTTCAAGTAATCCAAAACTTACTGGCCATATGATGTATCTTTCAGATTATACGGAAACATAGCCATATTACCCTCCTTATCAATATATATCGATGGAATATTAAATCGTTTAAATAATACACCAATCACGAATTGTTCAGAGGGAACAAGTAAGCGAGCATCAATTACAATATTTTCGGATGTCTGTTGAGAATGAAAGTATGTACTTAATGAATGATATAATCCCATCATCGAACGTTGAATATCATTGAAGACAATCTGATTCAAAAGTGCTGCTTGTGAAAGTTCATGATAAAATTCATGATCATTTAATAACATGTGCATCGGCTTGTCTATGACGTTTGTAGAAATCGGAGATGAATGTGAAGTAGACGATGATGATAGGGATTTTATTCGTTCACAAATAAATTCAATTGCACCTCGTAGATTAAATCGATGAGTAGCCTTCAAAAGTTCACTGGTTAAATAAGTTATTTGTCGTTGTCGATCAGCATCGATAGTAAGAAATTCACGTTGCATCTCTGAATTATCCATACGATGATAACTATCAAGTGTGGTGATGTATGGCATAGCTTGAATATTGAATGCCATGCACATAGATGAAACATATTCAATAAGTAGATGACCATATTGTTCCAATTCCACCGGTAATTTTGGTGGTACGAAACTGAATTGAATAGGAAGTTTGGACAATGATGAATGTGATCGAATAGATCATAGATGACATGCAATACCAACCGATGATAACCTCCATTTTAACATCGACCATGAATATGGACGTCAAAGAACACGAGATCAACAATATATAGTAGGAAATAATCTACAAGAAAATGCTCATTACAATCAATGAAAAGAAAGAATTCTATTTGTTCCGTCGACTGGAAAGAAGGATCATATAGTCAGATGTCAAAGACCGATGACTAATGCTTTCTATAGCAGATTC